ACTCACTCTGTCGGGACTCGAACCCATGACCTGGCCCTTAGTAGGCTACGAGGCTACCCACTAGACCACCGGGGCGACCGGTGTAGTGTCTCAACCTGGGTGTTGCTTGCGATTTCTTCATTCAGTGTGCTTGCTCATTTTCCACGGTTGGTTGCGACTCCCATCTTTGACCACCACCTGCCCAAAGGTAGACGAGCTCAACAATCATAGGGCGGCAGGCGCGCTGACGGCCAGCATTATATAGATGGCCAATCCGAAAGAATTAGCGTGTCGGAGGCCCTGCTGCTCTTCTGCTGTGTGGTGCCGTGGATTGATGTTGACATGTCCGACCAAAAACAGAACATATCGCCGCATTTATTTTTTCCAACGACATTTTGGAGAGGTGGCACACGTCTCTCACACACCTTTTTGAGCAGCACCCAAGCACCCAATCCACGGGTTGGAGTAAACGGCACCACCAATGCTGTGAGCGCTAATTTGAAGTGAAGACAATGAAAAAAAAGCACCCAATACCCACGAAGCAGTACGGCGCGGGGAGATGGTATCATATAGACAGCCGAACCGAAGGAATCAGCGCGTTGGAAGTCTTGGTTCTGCTGCTGTGCCCGTTCTACTGTTGTTTCCGAGTTTGCCATGTGTGTTTGAAAAATAATCCCCGGCACCAACAGCAGCAGCAAGCAGTTGAAGACGAGAACACCACGCAATGTCTAGTTTTGGACCAAAAACGGACTGAACGCCGCTTCTGCCGGTTGTCCATCTCCACAAGAGACCTGTAGACGTGATTCTGGCAGGTCGTTCTAGCGTTCTCAGTGATGTTACAGTGCCCGCGGTGCACTTGCCCGATGCTTCTTCTGTCAAAAACACGGATCCGTGAAAGTAGCAAGCCCCGAAAAATCGCGGCTCCTTCTTTTCACGTTTTCGGGGAAAAACGCCTCCGTGTATGTTCAAGAAAACACGCTGCCGTGAAATGTTCGGTGTTTTATTTTAGGCGGGTGTGGGAAGAGTCCTCCTTTTTTTTTGTTTTCGTTTTATTTTGATCGGTTTCCGAGGGCTCTTTTCTCGAACGGTCGGTGCGGTACCTGTTCTTTTTTTGCTTTTTATCATTTTGTTTTCTTGTTCCGAGTGGTTTGTACCCTATTTTCGTTTTGTTTCCCCGCGGCGTCGTATGTGCCGGGTTTTGAGACCACGGGCTCCCCATTTTTTGTGGACTATAGAGAGAGCTAATGTTAGAAACAGCAACAACAACAAAACTCTGCCCTGCGCCTGTTGTTGCTGAAAACTGAAAACAGCAGGCCACGTGGATAGGATCTTTCTAACTAAGGGCCGTTTTATACATTCCGATTTTCGGTTCAACAATTCCTGAAATTTTGGGTCCAAGTACTCGGAACCAACACCTTCATTTAATACGTGCTGCAGCTGTTCTTCCAAATTTCCAAATTAATCTCGCCGCGTGCCTGATGACAACAAGCACCACACAGTCGCCCCGGTGGTCTAGTGGGTAGCCTCGTAGCCTGCTAAGGGTTAGGTCATGGGTTCGAGTCCCGACAGAGTGAGTTTTTTCTCGCTTATTAAATCCTGGTCTCCGTTGGAAGCGACGCGCTGCAAAGAAAGCTCGTTGTTAGTAAACTTGATCGGCTTCATAAGTCGCGAGGGAAGGGATTGCTGTACCCTCCTCGCGATAAAAATATCTCAGGCGGGAACCGCAGGAGGGGGTCCAAACCCCCCCTCCAATGTGACCCCGGTTGGGTCGTCTAGCTGGTAGAAGTGGAGGATAGGGGCCAGAAGGGCAGACGACAGAATCCAATGACGGTCGATGCTAATAATAAAAACACACACACACACACACACACAACTCCTTCGCCATCAACATCTCTACAACCAAGGCACCATGGCAGACAGCACAAAGGGACGGGCTACCCGTCGCCGGGTAGTTGCTACCCCAGCCAGATTCAGAGAGCAGGGCCATCTCGGCGCTGCTGCCGGCGAAGGTTCGAGCGCACGCGGAATGCTCCCGGGCATCTCTGGCCCATCGTCGGCGCTACACACCCCATCTGACCCTCCGGCGAGGGCCGCCACAGGGCCTAGGTCAGTAGGTCCTCCGAAGATAAGGGGAACCCTGCTGGATATATTGAGGTACGAGGAGGTCGGCAGCATTGGTGCCGGCGGCGTTGATGTCGGCGGCGATGATGGTGCCGGTGGCGACAGCCCGAAGTGACAACTCCTTCGACACGGACCACCCTTCCAGCAACAACGGCGCGGCAACCGAAAGCTCGGCGCGCACGGCGCTTGATGTTCTGGTACTCCCTGTTGTGATGGAAAAGGGTAAAAGGCCGTCGAGGGCGAAATCTCCATCCCCAACACCACTGCAGTCGGTGGCATCCTCCGCGACCGAGAGGTCCCTCAATCGCAACAAGAACAAGCCGCACTCACACAGCGTGGCCTGCCAGCCTCCTACAGATCGCTATCCAGGCTCGAGGTATCTCCGGCCTTTCGAGGGAGAGGAACAGCTTAGTGTTGGAGCAGGCCCTAGCCGATGTAGACAAGGTGTGTGAGCGCCCAAGCCCCTACTACGCGGATCTCGAGGACGAAGCAACAGGTGGGAACCCTTCTGTGTGTCTGATTTTCCCCTCTCTCATCCCACTGTTCACCTACCTCTCTTTGTACAATCTCTCTCTCTCTCCCTCTCTCTGTCTCTCTCTCTCTCCCCCCCCTCTCCCTCCCCTTTCTCAGTCTTCCCTCTACCCTCTCACCCTCACCGTTTCAAGCCCGACGGTACCACCCACAGCGGGCCATCCCCTACCGCCTTCACCNTAAAATTCGCGCTATTTTGGTGCATATCCCTACGGCTGCATCGGCACCAATGCAATGCGCACGAAAGCTCCAACCCTAACCGCTATTCTTCATGACACATCTCTGCTCCACCCATCGTTGTCAACCTGCGTGCTTCCAGGTGAGACCCGGCCAAGCCCCTAACGGCGTCACCAAGAGACCGTCGAGGGCCCGGAGGCCCTGGTTTTGGCTGTGCGTACCGCCATTGGCAGTGGGGCGAGCATTAACCCGAAGAAAATGATGGACTGGGAGGAGAATGCCTACCTCGCCAGTCACGTTTTGGAGGTGATCGCGGATGAAGGCCGCGCGTCGGGGGCCGACGTCGCCACCGCCGACCGAAGGAAAAGCAAGCATTGCGTTCCCCGGGCGGTGGAGCTGATGGTCGCCGAGCGCTTCAGCAAGCGTCTTGCCGCGAGCAGGACGCAGTTGTCTAGGACGGAGCTCGACAATAAGGAGACGGGCAACAAACGGTCGGTGTACTTCGAGCTATGGAAGGACTTCAAGGACACGGAGGTGGTCGTGAGGTCTGAATGTATATACCGTTTCCGTTAGCCCGCAGGAACTTATTTTTTTTAGGTTACGTTCAAGTCTAGTTCGTATGCTCACAGCAATCTAGCACCCAGAGTCAGGGGTTTGAATCCCGTCGAGAGGGAGATTTTGTTGCGAAGTGAGTTTTTATCTCGCACTCCCCCCGGTGTTTGCCATCGGGGTTGGGTTTTGTCGCTTGGCAACGACGTTGTAAAAACAAGCCAATTCACTTCGTGAGCTCGGCAACCAGGTTACCGTTTTTTTCTTTACCTCCGTTTTTTTTTTTGGCGGTAACCATAATGGTGGTCGAGTAGATCATGTTGTGCGGGG